TAACAGAGAAAGTAGCCACAAGGACAACAGTTTGCTGTGTTGGAGTCTTTCCCTCGCTGAACTGAAGCTAATGGAAATGATACCATCACCACTACCACCACCTAGTCAGTAGATATTTTGGTAGAACTTGACAGGGTTTGGGGGCCAGCTAGCTCTGGGGAAGGAAAGAAATTCATGTGGCGCTAGACCTTTGGTACAAATACAAGTTTATAAAATGGTGTAGCACCAGTGTATTGCATCAGTTACGATTTCAAAATTAAAAAAGAGGACCAAAAGTTTACAAGTTCAGCCCTCACCAACGCTGTACAAAGCGTCACTGGCCCGTTTCTCAACGGTCGCGCTAATCGACCAATCAGCGTACAGCTAATGTACCAAAATTCTCAAACTTACCGTAATTCCTTGGTTCATATGGTGTAGTTTCCAAAGATTTTTTATGGACCAACGTCTTCTTTCGATAGATACCAACAGATCGTCCGCTTCGAATTTTTCGATTTGATTGCCGTTTGGCCGGAAATTACCTCCGAAACCGGCCTCCACTCGTTTCACTTCAAGGTTCTCCAGGTGGACGGCATCGCAATTCGGAAGCGGAGAAAGGATAGCCAGTGAAAAAAGAAAAACAACGACGTATTGGTTGTCAAAATCGACCAAGAAATGAATTCAATAGACCTGTTTCCGTGCTGCGCCCTCGCGGCCCGCGCGAGTGCGAAAGGGATTCTTTCTCGACAAAACAAACAACAACTACGCGCAGTACACAGCTACATGCAGGTGCTTTTTGCAGTGCAGTACACTGACATCACTGCACTGGCTGTATATACCTTAGGAATATCCTGTTCTTTTCCAAGGCATGATTGTCGCTAGTGGGAGAACTCAGCCACCTGAAGCTTTCATAAAGGAAGAAGTAGTAGGTGAATGAGTTCGCCAGAAAATGGAACGACAAGAAAATAGATACTGTTGCTTTCCGGGGCGCTCATGAGACGACGGCAAGATAGGACTGAAACGATCGACAGTCTGCCTCGACGCAAAAGAAACTCTTCTAGGAGAAGCTCGACGTGCTGTAGAGTTTGCAGTATTCTGCTGGAAGAAGACAAGAGAACTAAACTCAGACTACAGCGTGGAGCTGAAGCACGAGCGAAGCAAAAGCTGAAGCAAAAGCTGAGCGAGTTCGAAGAAATGGGGAAACACAGGAAAATGAGTGGGCGACATGATCTTTACTGACTTTAGCTCGAAGCTCGCGCTAAGACACGCGGTGGGCACGTGCGCCTACGGGTAGCGCGGCCAGCCACCATGTTTTCAAAATGGAGGTCGACGCTTTTGAAATCCGTGTAGACGATGGTGAGGGCTGAAGTTATCCGTTTTTTCCAACACTTACGGTTATAAGCAGAATACTGTTGAGTCAAAAATGTGCAACAAATATGCATGAGCACATGGATTATTCAATCATGTTCGATTGGGAATGAGGGCGGAGCGCTGCACTGCGGCCTTCTTGGACCCAAAACCAATCGACTCGGCATCCAAAAGACTACAACATATGAGTCTATCGCGGTCATCTACGTTTATATAAGAACAAAATGGCGTTGTTAGTGAAAATGCATACAAATTCCCATCTAATAGGGTGCAGTAACCCAGTTTCGGTGGAAGTGGTGAGTTCGAGTGGGAATAAAGGAGGAAGGGAGCGTCTTAGCTTCCTCGGATCAAGACCATTCGACTTGGCACCCCGAAGACTACAACTGGTGAAAATTTGATTTTAATCTGCTTTTAAAGCTCATTTCTGAATAATCGGTGTGGAGTGGTTTGAACAGTTTGGTCCTAGCAAGTTGCCTTCAGGGTGCGCCAGCCTTTTCTGTCTTGGCTCACCAGCTATTATATCAATGAACTAGTAATTTTCACCTTTCTGTAGCGCATCCTATCGATCACAGCTATTGTTCTCTGCAGCATTGTTCTTCAAGATTCTGAGCTTTCTGTTTGTCTTTCTCTTTATCATCATCCTGAATGGCACAAGTGAAGTAGGCATCACCGCTTACATTGTGATAGTGCTTATAATAATAATAATTTTAAAGCTCATAGCTGTACTGATGGGGCTTTTTTCTATTTTCTTTTTTTACTATGTTCACATAACCAGCTCGAAAAGGATAAGTAAAGACAATGGTACAGAGACTAGGATAAACGTGACAACTAATGAGCAGGCGCTGCACCGAGACGCAGCAGTGATGGTGGGGCATTGATGACTCTGGCGACCTGAGGTCTCGGCGTCACGGCCACAAACACGCACCAAAAGCAATGAAAAAAAGAAGATAGCCTATATTGCCGAAACAACTTGCTGTCTACAACATTGAGTAGGACAGTGACTGCATACTGGGAATCCAACTACACTATCTATACTGATGGGGCCTTTATGGCTGAAACAGCTTGCTGTCTACAATATTGGGTAGGACAGTGACTGCATACCGGGAATACAACTACTTCCTCCGTTAACAAAAACTTCGTGATGGATTTTGATGGATATGAAAATGCTTAGAACAGGTCAAGAACAGTTTGTATCAACTGCCAATCACTGGACGAAGGTGATTGAGCCTATGTACAGCGTCTTTACAAGAGAAACTGTTGGCGAAATGAGCAGAGAGTTCAGTTTGCGTCGCTTTCGCTCGATTCATTTTTGACCTGCGTCACTGTCGTCATCTGCTGCACGTGAGTCGTCATCTGCTGTACGCGAGTCGTCATCTCTCTCGAGTCGTTGTTCAGCTCGTTTCAGCCTTGCCTCGGCTTCTTTGATTACACTCCGCTGGCCTTGATGTCGCCGTCGTTCAAGTAAGTTGGCTTTCAAGCTGCATGATCCGCCACGATGGCGATTACTCGTTTCCACCACGGAGCCGTGAAAAATATTTTATGACTCCCTGGTTTCATCTTCGCTCTCCAGAACTCCGCGAAACGAGGAGTAAAGGCACAGCCAAACTGATTCTATTTTCTCTAATGGATACCAGCACTGAACGGCAGCGGCTAGAAAGTCCAGTCGACTTTCTTTAGCCAAGAGACTGGCATTGGACTGCAGACTTCTGAAAGAATGCATGGTCATCAGCATTCGAATCTGGGCTTTGCGCAGGTTGAACAAGAACTTGAGTTCAGAATTATTTACATTGAGCCGTGCGATCGGAGCAGCTCTTTGTTCACTCGCTCATTATGTGGGTTCGCTGCTCCGTTTTATCGCTCTCTATCACTCTCCAACTTACTCAGTGCTAAAGTGGTAGAGAGGCCAAGCAGCGCAATATCCCCTCGGAGAAGTGGTATTTCAGTTTTGCTCGCCATGACTGTCATCACCTATGTTTCCACAACGCAACCATCGATTCCGCTCGGCTTGTTGTGAAAGGTCGCTTTCCTTGCATCCTACCTTTGTCATGGCATACCAGGTAAGGCCAAGAAAGTGATTGCGACTCATTTCACGGCAGTTTGTGCCCAAATCAGCCCCTCAAAATTCCATCACGAAGTTTTTGTTAACGGAGTAAGTACACTATCTATAGATGCTGTAGGGGCATACCGTCCGACTGTTTCAGGATTTAGACTGCATACCTGACTCCCGACTGCCTACCGAGTCTAACACGTATACACCACGAAGCTGCCTACCTGTGCACACTGAGTGACAGATGGCTCACAAACACGGCCACCATTGAGAGAGCATGTTATTGCAGTCCTGCATCCTGGAATACACTCTCCCATGCCCATGTGGTCATTGGAAGGGAACAAAGAGAGAAATGCAGAACATTAGGATTATGTGATACCAAACAAGCATTACACTCATCCAGCTGAAAAGGACATCTGCAACTAATAGGTCATCCACAAAAGTACGTGAACCACAGGGAAAGTACACAAGAGAGATAGCACAGGATGTCGCAACCACAATGGATCATGGCGAACATTGAATTGGCAGAATTTCATTGCACTATTGGTTGCTTTGAAGCCAGGATTCACGACCATCTCGGGAGATGGCGAAAAATTCTATTGCCATGGAGTTATTGCCCATACAGCTCATGCAGTTACCAAGTTTCCCTCCTTCTTATGAGTATTCCTATGTTAATCAATTAGTTCTGATTGGAATTTTAGCCATAGTTCTTATTAACTTCACTGTATGGTTAGTTCGAATAGCAGTTTTAGCAACTAAATTTAGTATGGATTAGGTCAGCTCCAGCGAATCTATCTGCTGGAAATCAGCAGCATTTACTTCACTGCTTGGCGTATATTGTAGTTTTAGGTTCAGGTTATATTTCTGCCGAAGATCAGCAGCATTTTAAACTTATTACCTTGGTTTATAAAATAATTAGCTTTTAGATTAAGATATTACTGTTCAGTGGAGTATCCATCAACATTACAGTATAGGTACTCTCGATATTAGGTTTAGAAATTAGTCAGTTTAGTAGCGATTATTGGAAACTCATGAAAAGCAGATAAAGAAAAGCATAAAATGATAAAAAGCAAACATTTAGCACATTTTACAGGCTCCTGATTTCGGTTGATCTATGTCATTATCCTAACTACTGTCATGCACCTGGAAATCTGGTCGGAGGTCAAGCGGCCCAGGACGCTGGCCATGAAGCCGAGAGTACGCATACGAACAATATAATTATACACTGCATGCAACGTTCTGTACACACTGAGGGCGCCGGCCCTGGTCATTCGACCGGATTTCCAGGACCACGACAGGAGATACGGAACCATAAACACCAAGCAATAGCAGGCGGAATCATACCCCCCCCCCCCCCACACACACACACACACAACACAAGACCTACATAAGCTGTATGGACAGATAGGTCCCAAGGTGGAGCAACAAACCGTCGCTAGGTTTCTGAAACAGCGCCACGATATAATCGAACAAATCTCTTTTTTTATGAGAGGCAATACCAGCAGTGCGAAGTGAGTTGTAAGAGCGCACATCCTGTGCTGTCTTCCCAAATGGAAATAGATAGGTTTGAGTGGAAACTCATAAAAAAACTACAGGTTCATGGCCCAGATCCTATTAATTATATTTTGGCGTCGATGCCAGAAATGCAAAATGCAGCTAGGAAGGAGCAGTGAAAACACGGACAAAGGCATTGTAGTAAAACTGATCCAACATGGGTACTGTACCTGAACGAAAGGAGAGCACCCCTTCCAGCGATGGATACCTGGAGTTCCAAAGGTTCTGGCCGCAAAACATCCGGACGGTACGACAGCGTAGCAGGTGTTTGTGACCGACAAGGTGATATGAGTGGCGCACCCGCAGGGCAATCCCAGTGTCCGCAATAGCTAGCGGTACACAGCAACATGTTTTCCTACAAAACAACAGAAATAACGCTTGTTAGTAGATAATCGTGTGCTTGTTGAACTGCTAGTTGGCAAGAGTGAAGGAGAAAGTGGAGGTGCATCCTATTCACGATTCAATAAGGTGGTCAACTAGGACACCAGAATCCCCTTACGACATAAGAATGATAGTCAACAAAGGAAATTCTTACCTCTTGGGAAATGTAAAAAGATGCAGCCAGAAGTGTGCCGCCGTCGCACCGCGCATGCGCATCAAGCCTCTTGATACACTCCTTGGCTGCAAAGAAAAAGAGAAAGACAACAGAAGACAGGGCTGAATCATCACAGGACAGTGTTTTACATTTACTGCGGACCCACACGAAGACGCCACATGTTGTTATGCGGGCAGGAGTGTTCCTGTAAAGCGCAAAGATGGTTCGCGAGGAATACACAACACGTGGTGAAAGAGATGAAGGCCAAAATTTACCTTCTTCGCTCCCCGTGGCGCTCCAGTTGAGAAACCTGCACACGATAGTCGGAATCCTTCAAAAATAAGCCTATCGACTACATCTTATCTTTGCTCTGTACACACCTATCAAATGCTGGCCGGCTTTACAGTGTCTCGGGTTAGCCTCAAAGAAAGCAAACGGAGAAGAAGGACATTACGTGCTTCCTTCCAAACAACAACGAATAATGAAACATGTTCTTGATCTACAAGGAAAAAGTAATATTAGTTAGTAAGTTGATTCAACCCGGCCTCGCTGGCGAGCGGATGCAGCTGCTAGCATTCTTCGAGCGTGAACTTACTTTGACCTTACACCATACGATTCTCGGAAGCCGTCCAACGGCCCTTGCCCAGTCCGTGCGCCAGTTCAGAAAAAGTCGTCTAAAAGTTGCACTTTTATTTTCCAGATTTGCCAGATTTCGCAGTTTTCTCAAGATATCGCGAGACGAATACTCAATGGCGTCACCTTCGTCGTCCTTTGGTTTACGTCTCCCGTGAGTTCTTCGTCTCAGATCGTTGTCGAAATCCAACCTAATAGTTGTTCTCTGCCCTAAGTTTTGTCCGTGGCGACAACAAATAACGAGAAGTTGAGTTCTCGCTCGTCGCTTGCGTTTTCGTTATGTCGCTGATATTTTGGTTGAACATGCTATAATTTCGTGCCGTTGGTTTGTACAAGGGTTTCGCTATTTCCTGCTTATTTAATTAGAAAGAGATATTAGCCAACAGTGTATCCTCCAATTTTGGCTTGTGCAAAAAATCCGACAGCGGTGATACCAACCGTTTCGTCAACACTGTATTTTTGACACATTTTGACACACACATGTCTTCAATTGGTGGACTTATGAACGACCGACAGAATCGTTCAAGGGGTCCTAGTATTCTGCGATGTACCAGCCAGACCATTGTATCCGTAGACCACGAATTTACAGACAACACGAACCCCAACAGGTTGCTGGAGCTCCAAACACAAACCCTCGTACATCAATGCATGTGCCTATACTTGTATGTACAACAGCAACAATATCAAGCCAAATACAGTACTGAGGTGGGAAAGAAATATAAATAATTCATGCAGAGAGGCTAGGATGACACTACAAACACAGCACCAGAGCCAATGCAGAATTGAAGTGAAAAAATTGCATCTGCGGATGGCCAGGATACGGTGCTACTATTTACAGAACAACCGCCACAAGCTATGACCAAGAGTACATAAACCAGAGTGTGCAACTGTGCATATCAGATCTGAAACAGCGCAGTTCGTGCACTACGTCACCCTGATGAGATCAGCCAAGCCGCGACTTGCGTACAGCTCAAATTTTCATGTTTCATAGCCCGGAAATCAGCCAAGTTTGCTTGATTTTTAGACGTCCTGTTTCAGGATTTCGGTGTTTTGTGTGACTGTGTACGCTGCGTACATCCACCGACAAGTAAAGTCACCAGGCTATGCGTCTCAAAAAACCGAAATCAGGACAAACTCAGTGAACTGCACCACCGCGACTGGTTACGCAACTTTTCACCGTACCTATGGCTTACCATGCCGTCAGAAATGACGTAGTGCACGAATTACGCTCCCACAGGAACCATCCCGAGTTGCACACTCTGGTTTATGTACTCTTGCTATGACACATAAAGTCTCGTACCTTCATTCACGGCGGACGCATGGAGCAAAGAATACGTTTACCATACACCCGTACATACATGCACACGTGAATTGACACGTGTTCATGCGCTTTTTTCAACAGACCCACACACGTCTGCATGTACATGCAAACGCACAGACATGTACACGTACATACGTGCACGAACATACACACCCATAAACATGCACACACACACACACGCGCACATCCGCTAAAGTATGGGAGCATATGTGCACAAAGCATCACGTGATTGCATTCACAAGTTTATACAAGACAGCCAGGTAATGAATGCATACTTGTAGTTGTGTGGTAGCTGCTACAACAGATGGAGCATTGGCTAAATATTGCAATAAGGAGAGTGCTATGATAGTCATGCAAAGGTTCTGCTGTTATCAACGAAGTGCACGCCTCTCGTGCTAAGTTCAAGATCCATTGTACTCTTCTTTGCAACATACTTCGTGCAGCTTGCATCCAATCGTAGGCATCACGAGTCAAGGCAGCAGCCACATGGACCAGTAAGATTCACTGATATTGAGGATTTGGACCAGGGTGCTGTTCCGATCAAACTTGCAAGAACACCTTGTTGAGCTGGGTCTTCCCCACTGGCACAGCCACCTTGTGTGGCCCTACCATTAGTGGTCTCTGCCCGTTGCCTTCATTTCATTGGTAGGGTTGTGTTTGACGAAAAGCCCACTTGACTGCCTTCCAGCATATAGCTTTCAAATGTAAATGTGATGTATTGATATCACAGACATGCTGACGTTTGGTACATGCCTCAAGGCTAGTCAATAGAATTGATAGTCATACATCACTTCAAGCTAGGACCACTCCAGTGGGAGAAATGAGGTGATCCACTGTTGTCCGCTGGAAGCGTTTGACCCTGTTGATCATGGTGATATCTACATAGGCATCAATACACAGCCGGAAAGTGAAGTGTGCACACACAGACGCACACGCACACACACACACACACACACACACACACACAGACACACACAGACACACACGCACACATACACACACACACACATACCAAGCAGCATAGCACCACAATTTCCACAGCCCTAAAGCAGCAAGTATCGCCCCCCAAGCATGTGTATGCACAGAGTACATGATTATGCCACAAGGGATTTTTTTAATATTTGAATGCAGGTGCACAGGCCCTGGGTCATTGGCATTGGTCATGGGTTTCATATTCATGTCCTAACTATAAATTGATAAGTCAATAATAATTTTGCTCTTCTGTTTCATGCATTGTGTGTAAAATACCAATATACAGGCAAATTGTACTAAAGTACCATACAGCTCTGCATCAATTTTGCCAATGCTGTTGATTGTACATTGTTCACAATCGCTGCAATCGCTGCCATTTCTCATAAATAATATTGTCATGCAGTATAGTTACGAAATACACCGCCAGGATGCCACAATACAAAGATGGCTACATTCTTTCAACCAACATGCAATTATTGCAAAAAAATAAATATTTCCATAATTTCGTGCCGTTGGTTTGTACACAATTTCAGGGCTAAAATAACCTTACCCTGTCATGGCGATATCTCTGAGGAGTTGAATTCACCTAGTCTCCCTTGTGCAAAAAATTCCCTCGTGGTGCTGCCAGCTGCAATGTAATGGCAACCCAGAATAGGGTGAAAATCGAAAACGATAAATTCCTCGCCTCCCGTCCATCCAACTGCGCTGGTTGCATCAAGTACGATGATTAGAAGACGAGTGGCATCCGACTAACGACTGGCAACATATAAGGCTTCCTTCTTCAAGAAATTTTCTTGAAGAAGGAAGCCTTCATTTCACCGACTGGCCTCGAGGTAGGCAACAAATCGACCAACAATTTACTGACCGGCGTCGTCATCTTTCCCTGCATAACGTCTGCATGTATGGTTCCCGCGCAGAAAATAAAAATCGGGCCAAAACAGGGTCTGGCGCACGGACTGTGCCCGTGGCAGTCTAGCAGTGCTAGCCGCGTGGTCTACCACTGTACCAGTAACAATACAACCGCTTCATCGTGTAAAGCACTCGCTAATGCATGGAAAAGGACATCGCGGTCTGGTGTGAACTTTGAAATGGGCCAATCAGCTACTCACACGTAGTTAGCACGTGGCACGGTGACTTCTGTACAGAGCTAGAGAATTCCACCAGACAACGACAATCACCTGGTTGGGAAGTAATTGCTCGTCTGCTAGCATTAGATGCAGCCTAGCCTACGGACACTCAAACTAGTAGCACTAGACGTAGATCTACTCAGAAGATTCTAGACTGCGCGAACAGCAGGCAGTGCGCCGGCAGATTCGGCTCGGACAGACGTCCGTAGATCTTCACACCTCGACCCGATCGACCGAGCCGCAATCGCTGGCTCATCAAAACGCAAACCACGCAGGGGTCCGCTAGCACACGAAGGAACGAAAATCAGTCGTGACCTGCTCTCGAAGAAGGAATACTAATGCAATACGGTTATGAGTCGTACATATAATTATGTTTATTGAAGACTCAAGTATGGATACGTCGACGAGTTCATCAAAACTCGCCACAGCTTCGATACATCCATGCATCTCGATCTCTGGACGGAATACAGCAGCACAATGCATTAATGGAAGGCGGCTTTCACAGAAAAACCATGCCACGCGCTTTGCAGCTCATACGCTAGGCTTCCTAAACTGCTCGGCCACACCTGCGAAACTAGGATATTGCGACGTCGGCGGTAATATCCGAAAAAAAAGATGGCTGCTCCTCAGGTTGGAACTCGCGCTGCCGACACTTGACTGACTGAGGACTGCCGTCCGAAGCTAGGCCCCGGTGTAATATGCCCGAAACTTTGCCGAAAATGCTTTTGGGAAATTCTCGTAAACCTTGCCGAAAATGCTCCCATACCTTGCCGAAAATGCTCGGAAATGCTCACTTTTTTGTAATCCTCAGCACACGCCGTCAAAACCAGGGAGTCAGAAAATACTCAATAAGACTTAACTAAGAGGCTTGCTCGAGTTGCCATGGGAAACAATTCATAAACTACTCAACAAGAAGCTAACCCACGGAATGCGGAAGTGACGTTCTTGTTTGGGAAGTTTTTCTTCTCTCAATCTTGATACACAACGGCCAAGTGCTCCGTTTCCCCCAAAATGCTGCATCAGCAGCCCAAATAATTGCTGGGTTTGCGGATTGTACCGAAAATGCTAAAAAAAATGCCGGCATATTACACGGGGCCTATCCGAAGCACACGAGAAGCACGTCGAACCTTGCAATCGGTAAACCGGCACAAACCACCACTCCTGCTCAATAAACTATCCCTGTGGGAATTTGCCGACAAATTCTCGAAAACGGGCGCAATAAATTGCGGCAGAAAACAACAACAAAATGCGGCGAAAAGTGCCGAACTTGCCAGGAGCTTGCGGAATTATTGGCAGAAAATTGCAGATTTGGGCCAAATCACGAAATTTGCTGCATCCTTAGAATCGCTATTTTGTGTGCTGTGCAAATAACCTACATACCGTATTATCTCTAATACGGAGGATTAGCAAGACGAAATTCGCGTTCGCGTTCGC